AGCTTCCAACAAGGCCTGAGCCACTCTCAAGTGGCCCTTGTGAGCTGCGAAATGCAATGAAGTGAACCCTTTTGGTGTGGCAGAACCTTTGTCAGCGCCACACTTCAGCAGCATTCGCACCAGGTCCAAATAGCCTCCATTGGCTGCCAAATGCAACGGTGTGTCACCTTCCTGTGTTGCGGCCTCTTTGTTTGCACCAGCTTCCACCAACACTTGAGCCAGTTCTATCTGGTTGCCCTCGGCTGCGAAATGCAATGCTGTGAAACCATTGGGCGCAGCAGAATCTTTGTCAGCGCCACACTTCAGCAGCAACTGCACCATCTCCAGCTGCGCCTCACGGACTGCGAGATGCAAAGCCGTGAAGCCATCTGCCGCCACGACATCGGGATTGATTTCAGCCTCTAGCAACGTTTGAAACACTTCCAAACGCCACTGTTTCACTGCCAAATGCAATGACGTGGAAGCATCAGGTGAGGAGGACCAGTCTTTCCTTGGCGGTCAGGTGAAACACCTCTCCGAGTGATTGTTACAGTTTCAGAGTAGATGGCACAAACCCCAAGATGTCTTTTAGATGGGGGGTCCCATTTTCCACCACCTCACTTAGTCCTCTCTCTAATCAGAACTCCCTTCGAAACCCCCCCCAAAAAGGACCCCAGAGCCCAAAACGTTGGAGTCGGATTCCCACCTAATACTCGGACCCTACACCGAGCGAATGGACCCAGCTTCTTGGCACCGCTCGAATCCAAAAGCCACTGCACCACGTGAGAGTGGCCCGCCGCCACGGCCAAATGCAAGGCCGTGAAGCCATCCTTGGAGTCGCGGACCCGGCGGACCCTTATGGGCCCTGGAAGACTAAGACGGACCCAACTGGTTTACCCAGTAGACCCAACTGACTAAGATGGACACCTGGTCGAAAGGTTTACCCAGTCAGTGGAAGACTAATCATGCACCCTGATTGCACCACCGTTTTTGGTAGAGGAAAGCCATCTTCCAGGAAGCCATGTTTCGTCCAGTTTTTCGGGAGGGTCACCCAAGGACCAGTCCGGGACAATACCAAAATCATCAAGCAAAACCCAGGCTTCTTCGTCCACGGCATCTTTGCAACCAGCGTCCTGCAGGCATTGCACCACTGCCAAGTGGCCTTCGTTGGCTGCCAGATGCAAGGGGGTGGAGCCAGAAGGGGTCTTGGCATCTTTGGCAGCACCACTCTTTAACAGCACCTGCACCACCTTCAAGTGCCCTTTGCGAGCTGCCAAATGCAAGCCGGTCTTGCCGTTCAGTACCACAGCATCTTTGTCAGCACCATGTTCCAGCAGCAATTGCACCACTTGGCAGCGGTCTCCAATGGCCGACACATGCAAAGCTGAGAAGCCGCTTTCTGTCACCATCTTCAGTCCAGCTCCAGCCTCCAACAACGCTTGAACAACTTCTATGTGGTTATTGCGAGCTGCGAAATGCAATGCCGTAAAACCTTTTGGTGTGACAGAATCTTTGTCAGCGCCACCCTTCAGCAGCACTTGCACCATGTCCAAGCAGCCTTTGTTGGCTGCCAAATGCAGCGCTCTGAAGCCATTCTCAGGCTCCCTCGGTGGCGCATATTTCTCTCCCTTCGCAGTTCCAATCTCCACCTTCATGGCTTCTTTGTCAACGCCACCGTCCATGAGCACTTGAACCACGTCCAGATGGCCTTCTTTGATTTGCCTATAAGGAACCTGGAAAAGAACTTAAACATATTCCCCAGAAGGTGATGTCCACATAGAAAAGTAAAACCTGCATCGCAAAACCGGGGCCTTCCTTCACTGCCAAATGCAAGGCTGTGAAGCCATTCATGCCCTCTGTCGCATCCTTCAAATCGAATCCCCATGCCAGGAGCACGCGACACACCTCCAGGTTCCCGAGCTCCGCCGCACGATGCAGGCTGTGATAGCCTATAGTATCCACCACGTCTTTGTTGGCTCTCCTCTCCAGCAACAACTGCATCACGCCGGTCTTATCGCAACAAGCAGCAAGCATGAAGGCGTTGGACTGATGCATCGTCGGGGATTCGACGTCCACGAAGCTGTCCAACAGCAGCTGGACGACCTCCATATGCCCCTGACCGAAAAGGGACACCGAAGCTCTTCCGGCGGCGAATCGACGCACGAAGCCCGAACCGCACTGCGGTTCGTCCTCTCCCCTCCCATGCGTTCGCCCGGTTTTGTCCATCGACGGATCGGGTCGCGAAAGCCGGTTTTGAAGTGATCTGACCAGTCTGTGCACCAAACCCAGCCCAACTTCACCTATCAAAACCAGGGCAGAAATGTGGCATTGCAGGATCCAGGCCGTCCTTCATGAAACAAACTCCCCGAGTTCGATCTCCGCTTCACACGAACCGCGCCGCGCCCGCGGGGGAGCGGCCCGCGGGCCGGTGCGTCCAGTCCAGGTCCGCTCCCAGGTCCGGGCCATCAGGAGAGGCGAGACGAGGTAGCCAGGTCTCCCGGGACCATAGGACCCGGAAAACCTGGAGGTACCCAACTAGGATAGTCTATCTATAGGGTTCTGACCCACCTCTGCTGGAGGGTGTGTGTGTGTAGCAGCCCGTGTGTTCTCAGTTCGGTCTGCTCCGACGACGGCCAGTGAGGCTGCTTCCCTTCGGCTGGACACGGAATGGGCGGAAGGTGGCTCAGTTCCCTTCGGCATTCATCTGATGGCCTTAGAAGAATAGAATATGGGCTAATGATGAATCACGTAAGAAGAGAATGATCCGATGTTCTGTAGACCTTAAAATCTATAATGATCCAATAGTATGTAATCCTTTTTTAAAAGCATGCTCAACACCCTAAGCGGTTTCTATTGATAGCTCCTTACAGCTTGAGGGGTGTCCATTAACCACTCCGACAGTGTGTCCTGGTATGTTTTATAATCCTATCCAATATCCAGGACCTTCAGTACGCGACCGAACTTGAGATCCTAGTGGCTGAGGAAAGGTGGCTCGTTGGTCCCTAAAGAGGTCACACAGAGACTCCAAAAAGGTCACGATCGCTTTCAGGGCCACCACGATCTCTTCAGGCGGAGCAGTTGCCGCGCGCGCGCGCGGTCCCGGGACGAAGAGACTTCCGGTTCCGAGCCGACAGCGGGCGAACCGTCGCCTCCTGTGCCGCCAGGTGAAGGCCCCCCATGTGCTTCTTGCGCGGCGAGCTGCGTGAGGGGTCGTGCAATTGTCGAAGCATCGCCTCCACCTGGCAGCATGCGAATAGGTCCGTCCAACTGTTCACAGGAGGGGGTTCTTGGAGGACACCATGGTTTGGAGATGGGAGGATTCCAACTGGCCCACCGGTTTGAATTCAATGGTCTGAATCCAAACAAGCGAGCTGTTTTACTCGGGCTACCAGCTCAACTCCTTTTCTGCTGTCATGGAAGTTCAGGGATGGGATGTTGGGATGTTGTGGGACATCTGAATCTATACACCACCCAAATCAGAGTGCTGGCAGGGGTTTCGTTGGTGGGTTGTTGTCCTTTGGAACAAGAAACATATGGAAGGTGGGGCGGGAGAGATGTCAGTGGTGTTTTGTTTGGCCCACCCGAACACTCTTCCGAAGAAGGAAAAAAAGAAGAAGAAGAAGGAAAAAAGAGGAAGGAGAAACTCTTGCTTTGAAACTCCCAGACCTTGCTCAACTCATTGTGCTCACAGGCGTCGATGAACACATCGGTGGTCTCTGCATCTGCAACTTGAAAGTCCAAGATCAACAGCTGCAGCGTCGCTGGCGGCACCAACGTCGCCACCGTCGCGGCCGGCGTCGCATCCACGAGCTCCACCGATTGGTCCCTCAAAAGCCGCTGCCGGAAGCGGGAGACGCCCAACTGAGCTGCGAGGAGCTCTTTCAACGTCCTGCCACACGTCACGACTTCGGATGAACGACCAACGACTTCGCGCATCGAAGACTGACCCCGTTGAGCATCGCGGGAATCCCCGTGTAGCTTTTTCGTGAGCATCAGTTCGAACACCAAGCTCTACAGCCAGCTCTACAGCTTCTCCTCCCCATGAGCCGACCCCTAACCCCCCCTAACCGTTTGGAAAGGAAGAGGCTCGGGGCCAAATGTTTGTTGTTGGAAGGTCAGTGGCTCCCCAATCCCAGAGGTGGGTCAGAACCCGACTCTTCGGCTATCCTATGGGTTGATCAGTAGGGTCCTTTAAGCTCCTTCAACCTCGGGTCCTTCCCCCAAACCCTTCGTGCTCCGGGCGGCGATCCGAGCATCCTGGCGGCCTTCCAACGGTCCGCCCGCCAGTCCGCAGCGACGACCCCCGGCGCACGACGCAGCAGTGAGCCAAGCGTCCCCGTCCGCGTCGTGTCCCGGCGGAAGCTGCTCGGAAGGGTTGACTGGGGGGAACACATGACTGGGGTCGGTGGGTCTTTTCCGGTGACACACACAAAGAAAGACTCCACGAACCTTTTGTTTTCTGGTCAGTTGGACCGAATCGTTTCGACTGGAATGGGTCATACAAAAAATCTAGAGTCTACACTAAGTCAAGGAGGTTATTTCAAACAAAAGAAAACAGGTTTTACTGGGTCAGACTGGAATGGGTCAGGAGAAGCTTTTCTCGTCTCCCACGACGATTTCGGTCCTCACGGGTTCTTCACTCTCCAGAAGGTCTCGCAGCTCTTCTCCATGCAGTTCACGCAACAGGTCGCCCGACAAGGCGTTGGTCACACGCAGCATGCGGGCTTGGCGAGACGAAGCATCCAAGGCGCGCCGGGTTGGGGGGGGGATCCCTCCTGACGGATACGATGTGCGGGCCAAAATGGCTTCCCACAAGCTGTTGCTGCAGACAGAAAAGACGGTTCAACTGATCTTCATGCAAGAATGGGGCGATCTCCTTTTGAAACGCTTACCCCTTTTCCCGCTGTTTTCTCATGCTTTTGGTATTTGCCTTCAGGATCCCCTGTGCAATCAGCTGTTAGCTTCCCACCACATCAGCGAACTGTTTGTCGCTCATTAAGTCCCACTTCTCGGATCCCTGCGACATCAATGAAAAGAAAGTCTTGATTCCTTAAAAGAATAACACACCAGGAGTCACAAGACGGGTGCTATCCATGGAGGTAGTCGGGGTGCCCAGCTACTCCACTCACTGGATGGGACGAGCCACACCACCCCGACATGTGACCTCTGGCAGAGATGCATTGTAATACCTCTTCCTTTTCAAAGGTTGACATATTGTCATCAAGATTCTACCAGTCGACTCAGTCGACCATCTGTTTTTCATCTCTGTAGGACGCCTCTATGAACCCTGTAGGACGCTCCCACCTCTCTTCCACGTCTCCGCGTGCAAGCCCACGCCCACGCCTTCTCGTAGCCCTTCTCCGGATCAGATTGAATCAGAAAGCCTGGCAGCTCCGTTCCGCCAAGGGACACCCGGCTTGGACCCCCTGTGAAGTCGGAAAGGGAAAGACCTGGAGGTGGTCGAACTCAAGACCTGGAGGTGGTGGAACAGCTCGATTGGTTTGGACAGTCAGACCCTTCAAACGGGCTCGCTGGTGCAGCTCCCGGAGCCCACCAGCTTAGGATTTGGTGTGGCTGAGTTCCTCGAAGCTGCTTGCAGCTGGAGATGATTTGGACAAATGGACATGTGAAAAACAAAGGATGTGGACACCCTGGAAGTCCAAAGACTATACTTTCCCTCAGCGAAGTTTTTCAGACCAATTCCCTGATCCCCAGACCGTCAGAGCATTCGTATGCTCTAAGCCACGATGGGGTTTTCTGCCGTGATCTGCTAAGGATGGTTTTTCGATCCCAAAGATTTCAGAGATCTCCAGGCTCACACATCTCTCTGCTGAGTCTGAGAGAACTGAGAAAGCATAGCTCGTTCCTCCAACTGTCGGCCAGGGTGTTGCATCTCCTCCGATCTCGTAGCCTCGTAGCGAGAAGAGGGTGTTGCATCTCCTCCGGCCAGAGCTACGGCTACCCCTGAAGAGGTTCTTCCAATCTTAGTAACATGAGCTGTAGAAAAGTCTCAAGCCACCACTAGAATCTCATTAGTAGAGGTCACTGAGGGTCACTGGACATATCTCAATTCCTCCCATCTTCCGCTGTCGACCCACCTACCACCCTCTACAGCCCCCACCTGCCTCTCCCCTGCCTCTCCGCCCCTCTGCCTCTACCCTTCCGATCTCATCACCTGCCGACCCTTCCGACCCGACTCGCGACGCGTCACCCGGGGTCTTCAGCACCTGCGAGGTCTCCGAAGTGCTGCATCAAGGATTGCCGCACCAAGACCTGCCCAGCCCGGGCGCGCGCAAAAAGCGGAGAGCTCGGCCGTCGGTCCAGGGGTCCCTAAGGCCCGACTGCCGTCCGGGGGTCATCCAGCTGTGGTGTTCGATGGTGTTCACCCAGGACAACCCCCGATAACGGACATGGCGCACGGAGGGCGAAGGATGTTTGGAAACCACAAGACCCAGGCGCTTCCCCAGGTGCTTTGTTGAACCGTCCAAAACGGTTTCGGCGAACGACCCCGGTGAGATCACCGGGGGCTGGTGGGTCATCCGGTCGCCCACCATCGAATTGATATCAGGGATTGAATCCCAAACAACCAGGGGTTTTACTAAAGGATATTTACACCACTATACAAAATACCAGCTCAAGCATTTTTGTGAATGGTCCAAGAAAAAGGCTCAGGGGAATGAATCACGAACACACATCCAGGCTTTCAATCAAATCCGGAGTCAAACACTCAAAGAATAGTCTTTGTGACCCGACGTTCAGGAATGTCCTTTACTTCAGTCGTCACAAAAGGAGTCCCTTGGATTCCAACCACCATTGTGTTTAAACAAAATAAGAGGCTTTACCGAACAACCATTGCTTTACTCTATATAAGGATTTGACACACTTACCAGGCCTTTCCCATTCTTTTGATGGTCTTCTTGCTAAAGATGGTCTTAAAAGGTCTAGGGTTTTTTAGCTCAACCAGCACCCGTCCTCGTGCACCACTCGTGCCGCTCGGCCAC